CCCTCTTTGTCAGTAACCCTGCCTAAATCAACAGCCGCCCTGCTATTTTTGTGCTCACGAAGTTTTTAAGATTATAATGAGACTGTAAAACGGAAACCTGCTATATAATGTGATTGACGGAGGAGACTCGCACGAGCTCAGACAGTGGTGCTGTAACTGTGTGTGTGTTCAGAATGGGTGACGATAATATTTCAGTCAGTGCGTGTGTGTGGTTTTGTAGGACTCAGTTAATCAAACAGTAAATGTAATTGTGGTTTCAATATTTTGGTTCCATAGGACCAGTGGAACATGGGACAACACTTTGAGAGAGAAAAAGATGGTCTGCATGATGAGGTCTGTCCATAACAAAGATTTTCCTCTCCATTGAAAAAATAAGATGGATGAAATAATAACGTTTTTCCCCAACCTTTAACTCAAACTAATTGCTTGAACATTTCCTCTACAGATCCATATGTGGACATGGGGCCAAGTGACAGGCTCCTGGCACTCTTCAAGGCAGAATTTCCTACTCACCTCATTCAGAGGTGTTGTTTAATCACATTCACCGGCTGCCTGAAGAGCCGCGAAGAAAGAAGGCCCCGCTGAGTTTAGGCATAAACACAGTAGAGATCACTGCTCCTGCAATGTGTTTTGTATGTTTCTGTTGAGGTTTGTTTGCAATTATTTACTGTTTATAGTAAATAATAGTTTCTACTGGCCTCATTTTCTACAGTAAACGAAAAAGACTGAATGTGATTGAAGTTTTCACCTTGCTGCTGTTTGGGTCATAAGCGCAACAGATCTGCTCTTAGTTTAGCGTGTTAGCAAGGTAACATTAGCTAATTAGCACAAAACATAAGGCTGATGGGAATGCCATAACTTTTGCAGCTCTTTGTCATAAACCAAAGCATTGGACAAAGTGAAATTTTTATGGCGCTTGATGAAAAGTTAAGGGATCACCAAAGTTGTTACGCTTCATCCTGAGGAGACTTCTGTACCAAATTCTATGGCAATCCATCCAATAATTGATTAGATTTATCACATAAATAAAATGGCAACGTCATGGCGGAGCTACAGGAAATGTTGGAGGATCACCAAAGTCATGAGGATATATCATCTGGGAACTGTCTGTTCAGTCTGTTCAGTTTTTATTGCCATTCCACCTGGTAGATGTTTAGATAATTAGAATAATAAGGGAAAACTTTGACCTACTTGTGGTGTTAATGGAAAAGTGAGGTGACCGCCAAGAAAGGGGACACCAAAGGGGTGGGCCGACCATCCGACTAACAGATCGACACTGCCATCCTTAGAGTCATGCCTTGCTGTGTTTTTAGCATGGCAAACAAATGCTACCACACTACCTTAAAATAGCAAGGATGGCTCATTACCAGTAACGTGTCACTTACATTACTAAACAAGAATTGTGCTACTTACTATTCAAAATATTGTGAAAATGACTATGTTACAAACGTTAACTCCTAATTACTAGATGGATGTTTATAATGAGCTCAGCTAAAAACAGACTTTTAAGAGGCAAAAACTGCATAACATGTTTTCACACATGCGTCGCTGGTTGGCCAAATAGCTATACACACTGTTTATAACTAAATATTCCGGTAAGAGTGTAAATTACACCAGCCAACAAGAAGGAGAGAGCAGACAAACCATCATTGCATCATCTGCCCTTTACCATTGGCTCTTTGTGCACACGGCTTCAATGAACTGCAGTGCCTTCACGAATGGGCAACAGAGATGCAACCTAAAACAAACCATAATTATCTATTTGTGGTCCTGCTTCAGGCAAATATGAACATAATACAAAAGCACACACACGATGTTTGGAGTTCCAGTAAGTTCCACAACCACAGTTTTGTCTCCAGAGGATACTGGGTTCTTCTTAGCTGAATTTCTTTGCTTTCTTTCATGAAGAACACGCACACACACACACTCATGCGCTAAATGTAACCCTAGCTGACTCCAGACCACACTGTCACTGGGGCAGCTTGCTTCGCCTGCCTGCTGCGAGCCTGGCCGGTGCCTTTTTTCCTAGACATTGCTTCAGACTTATACTATCTGTTTCCACAGCCGTGCGCCTGCTGACCCAAGAATGTGGACAGCACTCCGGTACATTGTTTTACAAGGCTAAGCGGTGTATTTGAGATGTGAACTGTAGACTCTTGCTTGTTATGTGGGAAAAAAACAACTGTGTGTATGTGTGTTTGAACTTGTGTGCATGTCTGCTGAATTTGTTTTTAAGTGATAATCTGTGACCCCAGAGGGAGCTGCGCAAAATCTCAATAAAAATCTGATAATGTGACTCAAGTGATGTCACTGAGTCAGCGACAGCTGGTACTGAAGACGAAGTAGTAAAAAGAAGTGAGCTTATCAGACCTTTGTAGTCCGCTGCTCATCTCTGCTTGAGGCCAGTGGCTCAAGGTTACATTAACTGCTACTAACATAACACAGCAGAATCTGTACATTTGAGTGAATTAAGTTCAGTTGCACTGTGGGTAACGCAGGCATACCAGGTTTTGACAAGGAACAATGTGTGAAGTAGAAAAGACAACATCTCTCATTGCCTGATAATTTTTTTTTAACTACACAACAATGTTTCAGGAGTGCCATGCTACATTGGTAGGGTACTCTTTTAATGGGCCATGTTTTCATGAATTGGCTATAAGTTTAATGACTGCTCTATGACAAGTTTAATGGCTGAAACTTTTCCATTTCATAAATTGTGCAGCTATTTGGAAGAGTACACAAGTTTATTAGTTGCTTTGTCTTGGTCTTAACTATGAATACAACCAATGATTATTTTTTCAATAAATGGATAGTTTGGTCTGTCTTTCTGCCTATGAACTAATTGTTTCAGCTATAGTCTTTTTTTCTACCTTTTTTCTTTTCGTGCACATCCTGATGTTTTAAGCCAGACCATGTTGTGCACCAATAGCATATATTTAGAGTCAACATTTGCTCTTCCTTGATTTGACAGATGCACATCTGCATTCTTTTATCTTCTTTAATTTTCTTTCTCTGTATTGCATAATCTGATTGTAAGCATCTGGATGTCTTTCTATTTTGTAGTTGCTGGTTCTTATAATGTGGACATAATGATGTTTTGAGCTATTTTAGCTCTGTGGACAGAATTTTATGTTCATGTTGACTTTCATTGCTTTCATTCTGTACACTGTATGAGTTAATTAGGGTTACTACAAAATATTGGTCCATAAAACTAAAAAATAAATTGAGTGCTTTGGAGTTATGGCGTTGGGGATACCTCCCCTTTACTTTGATGTTTACGTGCGAGCATACACCTCATCAATTAATCGTGTAATAGCAAATAGACATAAAAAGAACAAGAAATCCTCCTAAAGTGTGAACACTAATAGACATTAATGCCGCAGTTCTCTGTCTTCAATTACAGTGCGTCATCAAGATGCTCCTCAGAGCTCTCCAAAGTTCTTGCCTTTGTTCACTTATTTTCTGTTTCTATTTAACACATAGTGTTAGTGTTTGACATAGTGTGAGGCGTTTGCTTCCTTCCCGTATGCTCTCTGCTGTTTCTCCAACCCCCTGACCTGTCTGTCAACCCTTGCTCCCATGGCAATTATTTAGAAACCTTGGCCAATTATCTACCCCTCCTGAACACACGCCTAACGAACTGCTCAGAGAGAAGATGTGCCACCACTTTCACGACAACCGCCTCAATAGCTGGGAGAGATTTGTGATGGGTTAATAGTAGGATAGTAAAGGAGCTGTGGAGGCGACACTGTTGAGTTCATGTTGGTTTATAGTGCGCTGTGACCCTATTGAACATTTTATAGCAATGGATGTCTATCTACATACTCAGCTGAATGGGACAAATGCCACATAAAGAGAGGACTATACAACACAGAACCAAAGCCTGGTACAGACTTCAGAAAAGACAGACGTGAGGAGTTTGAAATGAAAGGTCATAGTGTCATGGTGATTCAAACACTGACTCATAAGCAAGGCAGGACTAAAATGCCGAAGGCCTCACTGCACAACCTGTTACATACTTTGCAAAGGCAAAGCAACAGAGATTGAGTGTCTTTCTATTCTGTGTGTAGGTGACGCGTCCCCTCAAGAATGTGGTTCTCTTCCTCTCGCCGTTCTCTTCAATTTCCCCTCTGGTTGCTTACTTCACTCACACAGCCGAGAAAGCAGTCGCTTGAGGAATCTGGAAAACACCAGCGGGGAATGAGAGGAATTTCTGCTTTTCGTTTTCTCCTCAGCCACCCCCTCACCCCTTGCTCTCTTTACTTTGGATGCCTCTGCGCAGCCGGGCTCTTGAGTTTTCTCTTGTTTCTGAATGCAGCCCAACAATAACAACCTCTCATAAACAATGGGGCTTGTTGATTGGGGGGTTGAGAAGGAGAGTGGCCATTGCTGGCCCGTGCAGTCGGTTTTGCTGGCAGTGGGCCTCGTGAACAGTCCTAAAAGTCCGAAAGTACAGGCTACATCGAGGACCATGAAAGATTTAAGGGCAACTTTAAAAATGCACCATCTCTGAGGGACCATAAACACATGCTTTACTTATTTCTTAATCTATCTTTCCTCCAAAAGAACTTTGATGGACCAAACTCTGAAAGGGGATGCTGGTCAATGTCAGGAAACCACAAAAGTACAGGGGATTAAAATTGTAGTTTTGGAATTCCCTGCTTTTACAGCACCCATGAACTCGTAAAGGGAGTCTGGATCACATCGAGTAGGATTTTGAACAAGACGACCATGGAGCTCTGCCCCGGCCTTTCAGCCTATGGGCAAAACACAGCTAGAGTCACAAGCCACTTAAACATCTGAGCAACAATTAAACCCTGTGTCCGTGACAGGGAAATAATAATACAGAGTGAAGTGTCCTGGAATAACTCTGTCTCTCTATTTCCATTTTGGAAGATGATACCACACATTACGGAACGTTGTCCCCCATCTGCTGAACCGTTTTTATGACTCTCATCTCAACTAAATGTAAATAAAATGTCAAAAGAGATTCTTGTGAATAGGATGGGCAAACAAACCACTGTATTTTATTATAATTTCCTACAGGCTGCATACCAGAGCAAGGCTTTTGGAAATACTAGAGTTTTTCCAAAATATCTAAGATGCACAAACAAAACATCACACAGTCCAGTGCCTTCTGTATCAACAGATAGGGATGGAGCGCCGCCTTGTGGACAAAAGAAAACTAACAGCACATCATCTAATATTTTTGGAAATATGAAAGATTAGTGAACTGTGGTAGAAAGTTAACCATATATTTCTTGTCTCACACTTATACTTACATTAACAGGTCATTTAAAGAGGCATGATTTAGGAATAAGAGCTTTAAACTTTATTAATATGGTTTAATTTATCACATCATAACCAAAACACGCATTTTGGACAGCATTCATTCACTCACATGCACACCAAGCACTCATCAAAAAGGTGTTCTCTGTTCAAAGTCTTAAGCAGCAGCAGAGTGTGGAATATGTAAAGCGCCACTGGACATCATTTTCCTGCAGGCTTGAATGGATCAGACCATATCTTCACACCTTTAGACAAAAACATGAAATAAAACAAAATAAACAGTGTCAGCATGCATGTAACTGCATTACACCACTATTAAGGTGCTGAATTAATAGAGGTCACTGGTCATGCCACACCTGTTTCAACAGTATGCGCAATTAAATCAAATACACTGCTCAAAAAAAATAAAGGGAACACTTAAACAACACAATGTAATTCCAAGTCAATCACACTCCTGTGAAATCAAACTGTCCACTTAGGCAGCAACACTGATTGACAATCAATTTCACATGCTGTTGTGCAAATGGAATAGACAACAGAGACCCACACAAGTGGCTCAGGTAGTGCAGCTCATCCAGGATGGCACATCAATGCGAGCTGTGACAAGAAGGTTTGCTGTGTCTGTCAGCGTAGTGTCCAGAGCATGGAGGCGCTACCAGGAGACAGGCCAGTACATCAGGAGACGTGGAGGAGGCCGTAGGAGGGCAACAACCCAGCAGTAGTACCGCTACCTCCGCCTTTGTGCAAGGAGGAGCAGGAGGAGCACTGCCAGAGCCCTGCAAAATGACCTCCAGCAGGCCACAAATGTGCATGTGTCTGTTCAAACGGTCAGAAACAGACTCCATGAGGGTGGTATGAGGGCCCAACGTCCACAGGTGGGGGTTGTGCTTATAGCCCAACACCGTGCAGGACGTTTGACATTTGCCAGAGAACACCAAGATTGGCAAATTCGCCACTGGCACCCTGTGCTCTTCACAGATGAAAGCAGGTTCACACTGAGAACGTGACAGACGTGACAGAGTCTGGGGACGCTGTGGAGAACATTCTGCTGCCTGCAACATCCTCCAGCATGACCGGTTTGGTGGTGGGTCAGTAATGGTGTGGGGTGGCATTTCATTGGGGGGCCGCACAGCCCTCCATGTGATTGATAATTTTTGTGTGATTTTGTTGTAAGCACATTCAACTATGTAAAGAAAGGAGTATTTAATGAGATTATTTCATTCATTCAGATCTAGGATGTGTTATTTTAGTGTTCCCTAAAATTCCCTTTTTTGAGCAGTGTATATATTTACCATACTTGCATACTTTCAGAGTGTGGCTCATCATATTGGACAATGTAGTGGACGCCTATAGATTTAAATTCGGTAAACCTTCTGTATATTTTGGAGGGAGTGACTATCAAAAGTATCCTGATATTGTACACTAATACATCTGGTGCTCCCCAAGTAAAACAAACAAAACAAATGTTGGAAAATATTGAACTAGACAAAAAGCAAAAAAGAAGCAGAACCACACTGAGACAGTCCATCTGTGTAGGATAGACATATTGATGAGAGGTCTTTGTAAATTACATTAATATCCCATCAAAGAAAGTTCAAAACATTCTGACTCATTGATAAAAATTTTATTTTAACACATCACATTGTGTCACTTACATATACCGTATTTATTTATGATGCTTCAATCTACACAACACTGTACATAAATCTACTATGTGCTCTTACCTACGGGTTGAACGTCTGCCTGGTTGACTCCTGCCCGGTTCACCTTTTGGACTTCTCCTAGCAGAGAGAGAACAGTAAGTTACAGTGTAAGATTTTAGTGGTCAAGATCAATTACCATGACTTTCACATTGCAGCTTTATCGTGCTATTTTGTCTGGACTTTCAGTAACACTGCAAGACGTTTATCCATAATCTGCTGTTACTGTACGTCCTGACTATAGCTTTGCACCTGTGCTGGCCAGAACTGGCTCAGAGGGAAAAGGACTGTCCAGTAAGCAGAGTGGCTGTACGAGACATGCAGTGAGATCAAGACTATTTAAATAAATACATATTCCTGACCTCACTCTATCTTTGTCTTAGCTGGTTTAACTTCATATTTATGGTTTTAGAAAAGTGGAAACTCTTGCAAGTCTAACGTTAGATGGTCTACGTAAATGATTTTCCCTTTCGCCACTCTGAAGAACTTTCGTTGAATGTTTTGGAAACATAAAAACCCCAGTTCACCAAGTTAAATTAATGTTAAAGTGCCATAAAAGAGAGGTTAGCTAACTTAAACCTGTAACCTACTCACTCTAAACATCCAGCAGGACGTTAGCTAACTAAATAAAACTAACGTCCGTTATAATGTTAGCTTAGTTTAATTTAGCCACGTAAAGAAACACTTAACGCTAAACAATTAGTACAATGCGAAAATCTTACATACTAAATGAAGTTAACCTAGACATTAAGTAAACTGTCTGCTGGCCACTTACTGTACTCATCTTTATGGGTGAGCGGGTAGAAAAATATGGGGTAAAACGCAGCTGCGACAGCCGTTACGAAACCTCCGAAAACCAACACTATTTTACTGTTTTTTGACATTTTAATGTTGCATCGGATGCACCACTCTCACCTCCAAAAGTACACTGCGTTTACAATAACGTGATAACGTAATGTTTCCGGTGTAAAGGTCGCTAAAAACCGCGCATTAACAACAGCGGAGTGCCGCTAGTTTGGTTTCTCTGGGCTTCCGTACTGAATAAGTCACATGCTGCAGCACAACAATAATAAGGAAGTCTGGGTGAAGATTTGTGAAGTTCTAATTATTCGCGGTCTTAAAAGATGAGATTTATAGCCTTATTTGTGTGTTTTCTCTGTTGCTGTTACGCGAATGGCCCGACAGGCGAAAACGAGCCAATTCAAACATTTGTGATCCCTCACAGTCACATGGATGTTGGCTGGGTGTACACCATTCAGGTAGGTTTCTGTCACCATATTCATGACAAGCATATACTGTACGCACCATGCTGTTTCCTGTCACCAAACCACTGTTACCCGTGTAACGTGGAGGAATGTGTGTGTGTGTGTGTGTGTGTATGTTTTTCCTTTTACATAATGTATATGAGTGTGTATTGTCCATAGGAGAGCATGCACGCGTATGCGGCCAATGTGTACACCAGTGTGACAGAGGAGCTGTCAAAGGCTGAAGACCGCAGGTTCATCGCTGTAGAGCAAGAGTTCTTTCGGCTGTGGTGGGATACTGTGGCCACAGACTCCCATAAGAGACAAGTAAGGACACGTAATGGGTCAATACTCCGTACTGACACTAAAAAATGCTAGATAATCTCGTTTAATCCCCTTTAAGATTAATATTCCTTAGGAGATACTCCCCTATTGCACTTTACTAATGTTTGGGGTCTTGCATGAAACAGATTACTAAAACTGTGGTTAAAAATCAATGCAGCAGAGGCAGAGATATCCTGATTTTAGTCCCTGGTTCTCCCATGACAAGTAAACAGATCTTCATGTGTAAAGTTGTTGGAGTAACCTTTTAAATACACAGTAAATAATTAACATGTCATGGCTGGGTTGACTTTCTAGGTGCAACAGCTTGTAAAAGAGGGTCGACTTGAGTTCATCATTGGGGGCCAAGTGATGCACGACGAGGCTGTGACTGATCTAAACGATGAGATATTACAAATGACAGGTAGCGCGACACATTTCCTTCCCCCTTGAATGTCAGTTTTAGATAAGAGATGCGTACTAGCCTCTGTGTTTTCTCTTGTTCTCTGTGTCTCTGTGCTGTTTCAGAGGGACATGGTTTCCTCTACGAGACGTTCGGGGTGCGTCCTCAGTTTTCCTGGCACGTGGATCCATTTGGAGCCTCTGCCACCACGCCGGTCCTCTTTGCCCTGGCTGGTTTCAACGCCCACCTCATCTCCCGCATTGACTATGACCTCAAAGACACCATGCAGAAAAACAAGGTATTAGTTGATGGCTCAGTCTAAATGCTACTGCTACCACTAGCAAAGGGAAGAAAATTCATAAATTGTTCAAATGTTAGCATTTCTTTTGGAGTTGTTCATCATCAATAAAGTACTTTTTAGTCTGTATACTTAACTCTCTACCTTAAAATGAGGCTAAATAGTTTCTGCATGGTGTTTATCTGTTATTTTGCTACAGAAACTACAGTTTGTATGGAGAGGTTCTCCCTCTCTCAAAGAGAAGCAGCAGATCTTCACTCACACTATGGACCAGTTTAGCTATTGCACCCCATCATACCTGCCATTCTCCAACAGGTAGTCCATGTTTAGACCATTTATTGGTTATGGTAAATGTTGCCTATTTCTGTAATTAATTAACTGCAAATGACTTATAATGTATTAAGCAAAAATAAGAAAATGGATTATACAAAGTGCTGATTTTCCATTAAAAGGAAACCTGTTCTTACATCCCAGCTCTGGTTTCTATTGGAATGGAGTTGCTTTGTTCCCCGATCCCCCTAAAAACGGGGTTTACCCCAACATGAGCCTGCCCGTCAGCAAGGACACAGTGCACGCCTACGCCAAGACCATGGTGGAGAACATCAAGCAGAGGGCTGCATGGTTTAGGACAAACCATGTGCTCTGGCCATGGGTGAGTAAATAGAGAGTGTTTGTATGTTGTTTTTTTTCCCTCTCTTTAAAGTGGATGTTGTGTAGAGTTGTTTTGATGGCTGTAAAGCATCATACCCTTGCTTCTCCGTGCACCTGATTAGTAGACGAACTTGTGTCTGCTCTGTTCTCCTGTTTCAGGGCTGTGACAAACAGTTCTACAACTCATCTGTCCAGTTCAACAACATGGATCCTCTGATGAAGTACATCAACCAGAACAGCAAAGAGTTTGGGGTGACAGTCCAGTATGCCACTCTTAGTGAATACTTCCAAGCCATCTACCAATCAAATCTTGAATGGGAGCTCCGTGGGAGTGAAGATTTTCTACCATATTCCACTGGTGAGAATCCTAAAACATAATAAAGAACATGAGGCACAGTCCAACAGACTTTTGTTGCTGATATCATCTACTGTGGCTGATTCCTAGAGCCGTACCAGGCATGGACTGGGTTTTACGCCTCCAGAAATATTCTGAAAGGAGTTTCACGACAGGCTAGTTCCCTGCTGCATGCAGTGGAGACTCTTTTCACCCGGTACCGAATCAGCTTCCCTGATGGACCTGTAGCTAAAGACTGGGCCCTGGACAAACTGAGGGCGCTTCGCTGGGCTGTCTCAGAGGTAGGAGTCCTTTAACAGAAAATAAAGCAAATCATGTATGTATACATGGGAAAAAAACATATTTAATACTTGCCGTGCACACTACACACTGTACATGTCATATAGGTATTTATCATGTGTTTCAGATGAACACAATTCATAAACTAGTTTGATTTTAATGCAAAACGTTATTTACTGGTGTGTGTTTCTAGGTCCAGCACCATGATGGGATCACTGGCACCGAGTCTCCCAAGGTGGCAGACATGTACCTGCAGCATCTCATGCAGGCCATGATGGGAGTGGAGGAGCTTTTGGCTGCGCTCTTCCTGCTGCCCCACAACGTCAACACACCCAGCATCCTCGGCAGGCGCTACCACAGAAAAGGTGTGAACATTTTGCAAGTGGACTTCAGCCAAGCTACCTTAACGTAAACTACCTCTACAATGACCAGTGGTGTTTTTTTATATTTCTGCTTGTGGATGGATTAAACATATGACACAACATGATCAGTTTTAGAGGTGCTGGTGCAACCTAGCTGTTTCCCGTTGTTTCCAGCCGTTATGCAAAGCCAGGCTAATCACCTCCTGGCTTTTGCTCTACACTTAACACACAATAGTGGTATTGGTCTTCTCGTGTACATCTCGGAAAGGAAGCAAATAGGTGGATTTACTTCAACAGTAAAGCTGAACAACCTGAAAAATTTGCTTTTAGAATAATTTGTGCTTTAAGCTAAATGCTAACACTTGCTTGAAGATTACTCAACAATTAATTAGCCCTTTAATCTCCTCATGCCAGGTGTTGATCGGGCTTTGGAGCAACATGTCATAGTTTACAACCCATTAGCATGGAACATCACCACAATCATCAACATCACTGTAACCTTCCCCACTGCAGCCGTCTTTGATGACGATGGACAGCCTGTTCCTGCACAGGTAGTGCGTTTTTGTTTTTAATGAAAACTGATGGTAACACACAATAGTATCTATCCAAGGTTTGCTGACATTAACTAACATTAGCCACCATATGCTCCTGGTCATACCAGACCAAGGCAGAAAAACCTGTGTATTCAAAAAGCAAGAGTGAGTTTTATTGCTTATGTATATAAAGAGGAAAAAACATGACATGTCTTTATTTAAAGTTACATAGTCTCTCTTTAAATATTGAATGCTTACAGTATTACTACAGTATATGTGTTACTTGTCACAAAAAAATACAGTGACACATAGTTTAAAACGTTATCAGGTGTCCTTTATACTAAATAAACCATTTTAAATATGCTTTATAGTGACAAATAAGCATTTATTCACATGAACTAATGTGTAAATGAATCTCTATAATTATATACTGTAATACTATCTTCCTCTGTCTGCCAGATCCAGAGGTCAGCGCAGTCCAATGTGGCCTACGACCTTTTCATCATGGTGCAACTTGGCGGCCTTCAGCACAGGAAATACCTGATTAAGACCTCTGAGGCACAGTGCTCTGGGAGGCCCAAGTGTGGCTGGACTTACAAAGCAAAAGGGGTTCAGTTTGAGAGACGCAACATCAGCAAATGGACGAACACAGGAAAAAGACTCCTGCCTGTTCTGAATGGATGTTACAAGCTCATGTTTGACCAGGATACCAATCTACTGCACAGCATCACTTACCTGTACGTTTTTAAGCCTCGTACGACTCATGTCGCACCACATGCAGATATACTTAAGTATAAGTTGCACTATACATAGGGAGTAGTACATGTTGTCACACTCACTCCTCCTGTTTAGATAAGGATGTGATACTGTACTTTAATTTCTAACTTATTAGTTGCATCTAGAACTGATTAGGATGAGCCATTTAATCGATTGACAGAAAATAAATTGGTAATGTATGTAATTAAGTCATATTTTTATCACTGAATGTAAAAATCTGCTAAAATCCCACTCTTTTATGATAGTAAACTGAATTTTGACTTGTGGGCAAAACAAATGTGAAAGCTTTTGGAAGTTGTGATGGCCATTCTTCACTATTTTACACCATTTTTTAAAGACCAAACAATTAATATGCAATTAATATTCCACTTGTAGCCCCTTCATGGCTCATAAAAACTCATATAACTCAACATAATTTTATCTTATACTCTTGTACTCTCTGACCTTTCACCTCTGTCATCCTTTCATAGTCAAGAAAAAAGAAGAGTGACGATGACTCAGGACTTCTGGGAGTACCACGCAAATGGAGACGTGAAAGCAGGACCCATCTCTGATAACTACATCTTCAGCGCTAACGGTTCAGCTGTGCGGGCCTACAAGGCTGTGGAAATGGAGATTATCCCCGGGAAGATTGTGACCGAGATCCGGCAGCACTTCTACAGGTGGGTGAAATGAACCAGCTGCTTTGCTTCTGTCTTTTTTTTGGAATAATATTTCACAATTTTAATGAGATTCACTCTTATTTGACACGTTCGATCGTCTAGAGAGGAAGATGATAAAGACTACACGTACTCCATCACCACACGTGTCCCAGAATGCTTTGGGAGCAGACCACGGTGTCACAGGCTGGAGCAGACCTATTTGCTGGGCCCCCTTTGTCTCAACACCGAGGTCGTCCTCAGAACCAGCTCCTCCTTGAAGAACAACAGGACCCTGTACACAGATGACAATGGCTATCAGATGATGGAGAGGACATACAGGAAGTTCACTAATAACACTTTAGCAAGAGTAAGCTTTTGGAGAAACTGGACTATCGAGATTTAGGGCATTTATAACCGTGCAGTAAAATAGTGGAACATGTAGAATAATCTCTATAATCTGCATTTTGCAGAACTACTTCCCCATGGTTCGGGCAGCCTACATTGAGGATGACCTCAGCAGACTTGTGCTCGTCAGCGACAGAGCTCACGGTGTGTCCAGCCAAGCCAACGGACAACTAGAGGTAAAAAAAAAATAACTTAAAGATAAAACAAACAGAAACCCGTTTTAACATCCTGTGTATCCCCCCAGGTCATGCTGCATCGTCGTCTTTGGAATGACTTAGCCTGGAACCTCGGCTACAACCTGACCCTCAACGACAGCTCGGTCGTAAGGCCCACCCTGTGGATGATGCTGGGCTCCATCAGTGCCACCTCCAGGCTTTACCAAAGGGAGGCAATAGAGCTGCAGCACAGACCTGTCATCATGCCCATAGACCAACCTCGTGAGCGCTTTTTTAAAAAACGTTCTTATTTTGGGGTATTTTTGCAGTTTCACGTTTCTTAAGCCAGGTTTTGCAAAAACATGACAAATTGTCACAGAATTGTAATGGGTAAACCTGGACTACACATGAAAAATGTAATACCTTATATTTAAATCTCTGCAAAGAAATCCTTTTTCATGGGTGAGAATTCAGGTCAACTACAGAGAAAGTTTTCGGCAGCTTTAGAATTGTATTTACTTGTTTGATGACTTCAGCTGGGTGATGGATTACAGAGACGGGGGCATTTCAAGTGCAGACTCTCTTCTCCCTCTTTTAAGAGTTAACATCTTTAATTCAAGTGTATTTGAATAGCACAAAATCACACACATGGCACAAACTTGTTGAGGTGAGTCTGCAAAAAAATAAAACAACAGAAAGCAAAAAGAAATAATAGAAACCTCGGGACTGGCAATTCAAAGTGAGATGCTGGGAGTGCAGTAGGATTTTTTTAGGTGGGAAATGTCCGGAAAAATCAAACACATTCAACAACAACCAGCGTACAAAAAAAGCAGTAAGACAGGAAATCTGTCAAGCATCAAATCCAGGTGCATCCTAATATTCGCTCACCAGTTCAAAATATACATTCATAACAGCAGCAGGTAAACACGAATAGTCTGGATCAGCATTGCATTTTGACACCCTCACTGGAATATTGATATTCTACTACTCCTGATATATGTTGGCTGACAAAACTTCCCAATTGCTTGTGCCTGTAGAGAGGCCCTGGCAGGAGAAGGAGCACAGAGGAAGTTCTCCCGTGCATTCGGTGGTCCTGCCGCCCAACCTCCACCTGCTCAGCCTCAGTATCCCTGGATGGAACTACAGCTCTAACCATGATGTTCACCTGAGCCACATACACTCGGGTCAGCTGTGACAAATACTAGGCACACGCAAGTCTGTCCAATCATTTTTAGTGGTTATGTTGTGAGGTTTTTAAGGTCCTTGCTGATTTCTTTTTCATCAGGCAATTGATAGACCATTGCTTGTCTTTTTTCTGAAGTGTCTTTTTAAAAAAATAAATGAAATACTTGTAGGTAAGGATTTGCACTCAGAGCCAGACTACGATCGTGTCCTGTTGAGAATCATGCATCTTTTCGAGGAGGGAGAAGACCCCGAGCTTTCAAAGCCGGTCACCATAAACTTGAAGGTGTTAATAACAATACAACTTGAATTTCTACACATTAATGTCATAGTATTTTAAGAGGAAAGCCTTGAAATGGAATTCACATCATCGTTTTCTTTATCAATGGTCATTTCCTGTGTGAACAGGAAGCTCTGCAGGGCATAGGGGAAGTAAAAGTGCTGGAGGAGCGTTCTCTCACAGGAACCTGGGACGTAACCAGTCTGCAGAGATGGAAGTGGAAAACTGTAGATAACTTTGAAACAAGTAAGAAACACTTTGGCAAATGCATTTTGATAAACTTACAGTAATATGTACATTTCATGAAATAGTTTCCTCATTCCTTTTACATGCCTTTTTTGTTCTTCTCAGACAACAAAAGTTGTTGGAGCTGTGCAGATGAAGCTTTCACCGTGACCATCTCACCCAAAGAGATCAGGACCTTCTTCATTCACTTTGCTTCCACTAACTTTTAGGCTGAACTGTCTTTTGTCTTCTGTGAAGATAGCCCACCTTTCGACATGATATGACGATGCTTTTAAAGATGCGATCCTTTGCTGCGTTGTTTATTAATGCTACTTTTGCACTTTAATTTGTTGAGAAGCACTGATGTGAGAGTTCACACTCTGAAGCCCCCGTCGAATCTCACTGATGATTATTTCTGTCTTGTTTGTTTAAATGTCACAAACACAGGCCAACAGTAAAGTTTGTCTGACATTAGGGCTTTGTAAGAAATGATGGATGAGAAATCCAAACACGGTGGCCCATTCATCCCAGTGAAAGCTGCTCAAAAGTCTCTCCTACCATGGATGCCTTTTAAGTATCTTAAAATCTGTTTTGTGTGACTTGAAGCCGGTTATTACAGACAGCCGGCTGGCTGACATCCACAAATGAAAAATTACAAAGAGAAATAAAAGCATTTTAAAAAGTCTCCAGCTTAACAGAAGCAATTATTTAATTTATTAGAACACAGAAAGGTGGAAAAGCTTCTTCTGACATCATAGTTTATTTGTTTGTCACGTCTGGGTAATCTGGATTTTGTTTCTATCTTACAACAGTTTGCAGTAGCAGTCCTCCTTCTGAGTTTATCAAATACCTGTAGCCATGATACAGCAGTAGGAAGTGCGTCTCCGAAGTGAGAGGGGTATGTGCATGTGAAAGACAAAAATATGTTTTCTGTCCTGTCCAGTAGCATTATTGTGCACATGGATGTATTCCCATGCATAGGAGGCAAACTCACTAACCATTAAAGTAAATAACAAAATATGGCAACAGGTAGTAATGAAAACACACTTTCTTGTGTTCTGAGTCACAATAATTAGATAAATCTACCTTTATACATGGACAGAAGGTTCACTGTTTAGAAAAACAAATTGAGCAAAATAAATGTCCGCAACACAGACAGCATGTTATGGGTGATCTATATGAATTATTTGTTGTATTGTGGGACTTCATGATTCACAATAAGTAACCTTCCACCTTCAAATTTTCTGCAGCTTCTCTCCTCATGGGGTATTAACAGGGTCAATTCACATAGCTTTCTACTGAAATGACTATTTTCTCAATAGTCTCCAGTGGTATCTGTCCATCCAAATAGTTTGGGGGGTTTTTGTAGGTGAATGAAGTTTAATCTGTAGTGCTCACTGCATTAAATCATTTAAAATTCAAATTCTTTTTAGAATCAGTGTTGATAATCACAGTGTTGACACCTTTTGTTTTTATTTTTGTGATTTATTTTAGCAAAAAAAAAAATTTAATTGGAGATAATGGTAGCGTGGGTTTTTACCAAATGGTTTAAAAAATTAACTTGATAATCTCAATTTGTATAATCCAGATCTGAAAGCAAGAGGTTGTGGTTAGATGTGTAACACGGATGCTAATAAACAATAATATGTGAGCAAAGTGCACTGCTAACGCCAGAAAGCTAAACCATATATTTAACATTCTTTTGACAATGTATTCACATTAAAGTGAAATGGTCGGTGATGTTTTTTTCTGTATTGCCTCGACAAAGTGAAACTGCATCGTGCAGTTTGACAGGTAGTCTGCCGACATGGCCGCTAGGGGCTTCCACCCTCCCAGTGTCACATAACAGTGCAGGCAGCACCCGAGCAGAACAAAACGTCGCTGTGTCTGTGTGTCACCGCAGCAGCTAACCAGAAAATGAAGTCGTACTAAACAGGACAATGTAAGCTATTAGTGTTAGTATAAATGATCGCATGTGAAGGAGACGCCGTTGTCTGCACTTTGGTCCAAGATGAGCAACGTGAGTTGTTTCCTTCATAGTGTGATCTCTGTTCTCAGCTGCAGGATGTTAAATTCGGATGGAAATCGAAATATTATGTTGGCGAGTCGGTCTGGTGCATTTCGTTGCATGTAATGTCACGTTTTACACCTGGTCTTTGACATATTTTGCATCATTTAATATAACAAAAAAGGTATTTTATTGGGAGAGATGCGGGATGCTGCGAGGGGGCGTTACATTGTTACTAGGATCCTAGACCGGGAGGGATGGGGCCCCCTAAGGTGCTGGAGGATTTTAGTTCAGGATTGAGGAAGATTAAGCTTTTACGGCATGTTTTATCTTGCCTTTTACGTGGATATTTTCCCACCATATGTGTTACATAGAAAAGAGAGAGGGAGCAGAGGAGGAAACTGCAGCACTTTCTAAGTGACCTGGCTTTGCTTGGATCATTACAGGTCAGTGAATTCACATGCAGAGATGGTTAAACACACAGTTACCATCATGGTCAAATAATATTGTTTCTGTTACAGGGTTTTAAATACTTCCAGCCTTGGCTTAGAGGGAAAGAGGAGTTGCTGCTGACGGTTGTTAATGAGGATCTGGTTTGTTTCTGTAGAGAAAAACGCAAACATCCCAAATAAACATACAGCTTGTGCACTTTAATAATTACTACACATTTTCAGAATGTCAGAAAAGTGTGTTAGAAAATACACAAATCAGTGAATTTATGAACTGTAACACTATGCACAAAATGCTGCTTGGTTTGACTGAACCTGACCCTGTTCCCTTACACCTGCTCTGCAGGGTTGGCGTTCCCCAGGTTTTGTGGTCTCCAGAGCCTCCTCCTACACCTCCACCAGCAGCTGTAACAGCAGTGATGTCTCCCCCAGCAGCAGCTTCCCCAGCTTGGACAGCCGGAGCAGCTCTCCCCTGCCTGGGGAGCCTCCAGGCCCACGAGACCCTCAGTCACAGCACACACACACCAAGACGCAGCCACAGATCGCCAGGTGAGTGATGCTACTTTGTGTGTCTGCAAATAGCAAGATAATATGGTGTCAAGGTTTTTATTGCTGTGATCTCTGGCAATTGTTTTTACATTGACTGTAAAGTGAAAGTATGATAAGATAAGCCTCTAGTAATCCCCAGACAGGAAATTGAGTTGTTTCAGCAGCGCAAGGAAAGTCAGTATAAAGAAAGGAAAAAAATAAATAATAATTGGTAAATAAAACTAAAATAAGAATAACCGTAAAAATAAAAGTAAGCATTTAAAGACAAAAGTACAAGATAAAAGTGACAGTGGTGAGATTAGTTACAGCAAAGTCAGCTAGTCTACTATATATAAACAGCATACGCTAGACTTATATATAATATGATTAAGTTGCGATACTTAGTATTTGTCTGTATTAATATAGATATATTATAGAAATAATAAACAGTTTAACATAATAGTATAATATAATATGAGATATAAGGTGAAATGTTGTCAGATAATATAACATATCTTATAGCAATACAGCAATATAATATAATTTAAAAAAAATCAAATGCAGTGTAGTATACTCTAATAAATATAGTTTAATATGTAACAAAATATATAAATCAGTCCAGCAGAGAGACAATGGAGAGAGAGAATGGTGTATCCCAACTGTAGTGCCTCAGACACTGTGTTTTGGGGAGGGACAGGGGCCCTGGTCAGAGTGATTGGTATAGTCTATTGGCATAGAAAATGATGAGCAAGCCACCGTAATGACGCTTTGTTGCAATAATTATACAGCCTAGAATTAGCTAACGTTGCCCAGCTTGTGTAGCAGAATGGTTCCACTCTGAATGAAGCACTACAGTCATTCAATCGACAGCTATTTCAATGATCGATTAATTGCTGAGATATTTGGTAAAAGTAAAAAATCCAAACATCTGATGATGACGGCTTCTCAAATGTGAGGATTTGCAGATTTTTCTCATTTGTGGTGTTTTTTTAATATCCATTCTTTACATTAACGCTAATTGGAAACAATCTCTGCCCTTGTTCAGTAACTACTACTATTACTATTACTACTAATCAGGCTTTGAGCAAAGCACTTGTGTTACATGTGTTTAACCTTCTAACAGACTTGTGACAGCTCTCCAGCACCCCATCTCAAACTCGTATAATATAATGTGATAAACATATGCGTCTTGCATGCATCTTACATTGGTTGACCTCTTCCTGTGTCCTCAGGGGCCCCAGCAGTGAGGAGCACCTTCTCCCAGCCTCTCCCAGTGAACGGGAGATAGCAGTGCCTGTAGGTGCTTCAGCCAGTCTTACTTTTTGTGTCTGACAGCAAGATACATTTTTCTTCGACCTCTAACCCCAGACTCACAGCCTCCACTTTGTCCCTCAACAGGAGGTGAATTGCACTCTGTTTTTACTGGCCGGCTACGTCAAATACGGACGCCCTTATGCCTGGATACGCTCCAATCATGAGCGCCTGGTCAACATCGGAGGCGCCGATTCAATGGTCAAGGACACGCCGATGAAACTCAAGTCCATCGCAGACTGGCAGACACGAGGTATGGAAACAATGTGAGGAATCCAAACAGGAGAAAGTTATTGTTTCACTTCAGTGATTGAATAATTACACTATTTTCCATGAGCTAAATCAAACGCAGATGTCATTGCTTGAGTTCAGACTTCTTAGAGAGCACTGTGTGGTGTGGATTATGCTTGTGGAAATAGCTCCAGGTGCTTTGGTTATAAAAATGACTAGGCACGTCTATTACAAGTTCCAAAACATTTTGTCTCTGTCTTGATGTCTTCTCTCCCTGTGTGTTATTCTTTTTTTCCAGGTATTCGTGTGTGGGACGTCGTCAGTGAGCTGGTGTGCCTGTGCACCGTTCCCTCTCCCTCCAACCCCTTCGCCCTGGACATGCGTTACATCAAAAGTCTTCCCCTCCCTGACCGCTTCCTCGTCACAGGCGCTCTCCTCAACTTCCTGGAGATGTATGTGGTTTACGGGAACCGGGATGAGTTGCACTATGACAAAGGTAGGAGTTTTTTTTTTTAATGTGGTGTTTTCACAGACTGCTAGAAAGTCATACATCATTTGATTTTAGTACCATATTATTATTATTATGGCCGGCACGGTGGTGCAGTGGTTAGCACTGTCGCCTCACAGCAAAAAGGTCGTGGGTTCTCTCCGGGTGCTCTGGCTTCTTCCCACCATCCAAAGACATGCGGACTAGTTTGATTGGTGACCCTAAATTGTCCTTAGGTGTGAGCGTGAGTGGTTGTTCGTCTATGCGTGGCCCCGCGATGGACTGGCAACCTGTCCAGGGTGTACCCCACCTTGCGGCCGATGTCAGCTGGGATTGGCTCCGGCCCCCCCGCGACCCTGTACGCAGGATAAGTGGTTGACGATGGATGGAGTATTATTACTGAAGCCAGCAGGTGATGCTGTTTAGCTACATTACAAAGGGATCAGCCTTTCTCCCACTCTGCTCTTAGCTGCATTTGAATTTTAAGGTATCTGAATGTTTTTGATGACCTCCTCTCCTTTCAGTGGTGGAGGAGGTGAAGCCTCTGAGGCGTCTTCATGTCCAGTCCCTGCTGGAGGTGCAGCGACACAGAGAGAGCTCCGGGCTGGCCAGCAGTCCCACGGTGCAAGACTCTTCTAGGGAGGAGTGATTTTGATCTCATGTGATCCATCTCAAGATGAGATATCCTCTGTGCATGTTTACTGACTTCTTTTAATGATTTTGTGCATTGTGGTGTGTTTAACGGTTTTGTAAGATCACCTTTGCAAAGAGACCTAATGAGTACACCTGTGTGTAAAACCTCACTCATGAGTGTTTATTTAAACTGTACAAACAAAATGCCTGTGTCACAACACTCCTACACCACACCTATTTGTTTTAAGGCTGCACAGTCCAGTTGGAGCTGTATCTGCATCTTCAGTTGGAAGGTAGTCACATGTATGAGAGATTTTGAAAACGCTGGAGAAATAGCCCTGGGAAATAAGTCACATGACTGAGATTAAACATCCCAAGACCTCTCTGAATGTCTTGCCCTACCACCCCAAAACCGTTCAATCCCGCTCTCTTGCTCTTCCAAACACACAGACAGGAATTCTGTTTTTCCTTCAGGCCAAATATAACATTTTAAAAGTAGAGCGATCAAGCCTGGAAACAATCATTTATCAGGGTCAAAAGCTGCAGAAGTTAAAGCTGGTTAAATATTGGTCTTCTTGAATGTTACAGCAGTGTGAGAACAACATGCAAAGACAAACAAAATGTTGTATAAAAAGTTTTAATATTTCATAAAATACATACGGTATTTCATTAAATACGTACAACATAAAACTGTACATCGATAAAATAGCCCATAAAGAAAGCACTTTAGCCCCTTTTCTGAGATCAGGGCTGTGCCGTTTGTAACTGTAAAAGATACATCGAGAGTACAAAATGTTACAATTAACTGATAAAAACCCAGTGGCACATCAGTAAAAAACACCATTCCTGGGTAAAAAACAAAAAAGGGCAACATTTCTAGCTTAGTTTTGGTCAGACAACACAACATGACAAGTGGGTGGTTGCCTCAGGGTGTACCACTCACAGTCAAGTCTCATTTGTAAACCTTAAGACAGAAATCACTATCATGAGAGCATGTTACGCAATACTGCACATATCAACTCCTATAACCGTCACTGTGGCTGTTAAGTAGTTAGGGCACCTTTTTCTGGCTTCGGTAAGTGGCGGGGTCAGCGTTAAAAGCGCATTGTCGCATACACGACGACGCTGTTCAATATGCAAAGTCCTGGTTGGACACGGAGAAGACTTAGGGGCTTTTAAGAAGATCCTCCATCTCAAGTTTCCCCCGATTGGAATGCAGGTGCACGGCCGCACATTCCACACAGAGGCTCCACACGGGAACACAGCGTTCCCAGTGTTCGGACACAAACACGCCCTGCAAGTCATGGCCGAGAGTGTTTTTCCACATAAATGCAAATAATTCATCGCAGTGGACAGTTAGGATGTGTTTTGGTTTTTTTGCAGGATGCTGTTTGCATGAAGGGGGGAGGATTTTTTTTTTTTACCCTGAAGGTTCTACTAGGGGTTTATTTTCTCCCTATTTATAATGCAGGTGCTGACGTCTTTAAATGTAAGAAATGATCAGACTTGTATTTGCATGTCAAATTTTACAGTTGGAAATTTAGAAAGTGCTCAGAAACTACTAATAACTGCATTTATGAGCACTAGAGACTATAAATTAGTTTTAATATACGTTTGTATGACACACCTGCCTTTTTCCTCTGTATCTTGACATCCATGTAATCTTGGCCAAAACTCTCACAACGTAGATTAAAAGTGTGGTTTTGTCCACCCAATTCAACAATAAAGAATAGAAACATGCTTGCTAGTTTGACAATAAAATAAATTAAATTATGATGATCTGCCAAACATGTCAGTTAAATTAAAAAAATAAAACAAAATTCAATATAAAATCTCTCGTCGACTTTTTCCAGTTCTTGGTTGTCCTCTGTGGATCATTTGGCCGACAGCTGGTATCATTGTTGATTGTGTCTTTCCAATAGACCCAACTCTCTGTGACGTAAGTAGACTACTTAAAAAACAAACAAGCCAACCAGATGACAGCTATGGAAATGAACCAGTCCGGGTCCTCAGATGACCTGCAGCCAGTCACAAGTCCTCACACAGCTGCTGACAGGTGAACAAAAGGCAGCTGTCGACGGCATTTTGTGCTATACTGGACACTGCTCTTGCAAAAGTCAGACACCTTTTGCTGCGTCAAAAAAAGACAAAAACCATACGCTCACTGATTATGGCAACATTCTCTCTCACAAGCAGAATCTTCACATGTCCAAGTTTGGACTTTCCCCACTTCCCTCCCCTTTGTCCTTTTCCTTCTGACTTGTAATCAATCCCCTGCTCTCCCGTCAGTGCGGTCATCCTTGATGTTGTTGTCATCAGGTGAATGTGGCCCCCGTGTGTGAAGGGTTAAAGCCGGGGTTCAGTTCCATTTGTCCGAGGCAGATCCCCTTCTGCTGATGCCCCTGAGGGGGCTGCGAGACACAGAGGTGCTCTTCTTCCAGCGAACTGAAAAGACAAAAAGACGCAGAGTCAGTTATGCTAGTTTGGCAGGTGCAGATGAAAAGTGAACGCTGGAGTTTAAATGTTAATGATGGACATCCAACCTGCCCCAACAGTTTGTCAGCCTTGACTTTGAAGTGTCCTAACGAGGCTATTGATTTACTACCTACATCAGCACTTAGGTTCCATTACTTTCACTAAATGTGCTTGCTTCAGTCGTACCTTTAGAAATCGTATCTTTCTAAAACCACTTTGAGAGCACGAGGGTAGAGTATCATAAGAGCAAAAAAGAATATAGAGTATCTAAATTGTTTTATAAAAGTTTTTGTCTGATTCATAATCAGCACAAAATTGGATTAAATAAAAAGGTTTTATAATTTCTGATCTGTAACAGCGTTACACAGAGAACCTTCAAACTTCAGCTCCACTGTTCTGTAGTTACTGCTTTTATAAAGGCAGTACTGTCATCTTACCTTTTCCCAGACTGGCGGGCAGCGTGGAGCTCTTCATGTTGGCAGGAGAGTTGGACGAGTCCTCTCCTCGTTTCCCCCTCACCTCTCCCGGCTGCAGAGTCGCCGAGCCGTTCTGCTGCCAGTCGCTGAGCGCCCGCTGGAAAGAATGTGCCAGACAAGCAGTCATGTCTCGTGCCCGCTCTGCCCTGCTGCACCAGAACACGCGACACTGCAGCTGCTGCCCCTGATGTTTGCAGATGTACAGGAAGACGTTGGGCCGGTTGGCATCTGCGGCACAGTACGCAATGTCCTGCAGGTATGTCTTAGTGAGCTGCCGACCTGTACTCAGTTCCTTGACCTCGACGTATCTCGGGCGCACCACCAGGGCATGATCTTTGCTCAGCTTCTTCCCGTTAGCAATACCTTCTAGCAAGCGGCTAATAGCGTCCTGAGCCTGCTCTCGATCCAGAGAGAAGATCTTCTCCGTGCCCAGGTAGTGCACCTTGAAGAGAGGGTCACCGTGGGATAAAGACTCTGTGCGGTCACGCCGGAAGCGGCGACGTAGCGCAGCAGGAGAGTTCTTAAGAGTCTGCATGAGGTGGAAAGTGCTGAGGGACATGGTACGTTTCAGGCTGGGTTTGGAGGAAATTTTAGCTGAGGTGTATCTGCCGGCGGTCAGCTGGTCCTCTTCAGAGCCTCTCCGACTCTTCCACCTTTTTTCTACAAATGGAGCGTAGCTGCATCCACTGCTTTTATCTGAAATGAGGCACATAAAGACGGTGACGTTAGACAAACCCTTTCAAAGACACATGAATAATTGAGGAGACAGATGCCTAATCTTTGTTCAGAGTTAAATAAGGTGAATGACAGGGTACATCCTGGAAATGGATTGTTCTGACACTAAAGATTTTCTTTGATATGAAGCAACTCCTTGTTTGCTGCCAGTCATGCTTTTAGCTCCTTGATGAGGGGAAAAAATAATGTGCAGTCAGCACCAACTTGTACCAGCACGGAAGGAAAATGCCACCAAACAGGATCATTTACAAAGATGACGCATTCGTCAGACAGGAGCCATTAAATATTTACAGGTTTGGCTTTTGTCCTTTCTGCAGTGAACCCTTAATAGACATACAAACACACTGATGAATTGGAAACGTGCCAAAATACAAGGGAAGGTTACTGTAACACAGGTAATCACCAGGTACATAACTTTCTTCAAGCTCCCAACAAGTATTGCAGACAACACTTACATCACCATACTAGTACATACTGGAGAACTAAAAAGCTTCTGTGACCTTGTTAACTCAAATCTTATGCAATCTCCACATCTGGCCTCCCATTGTGTCCCATCCTACAAACCTACAGAACTGCCTGTCCGCTATTGTGTTAAACTTTATTTTTTCCTCTCTCTCTTTTCTTGGCCATTCTTTCAACATCCTAGCGCCGTTCTCAGAAGTGAGCTGCAGAGAGAACCTCCGACTGTTCCAAGTTGGTGGCCATTGTTAGTCAACCCCCTTGTGCAGGAAACAGCTTTGCATTCCCCTCCTAAATATTTCTCCTGCAAACAATGGTGTACTTTTGTGAGTGTGTCACATCACAGAAGGCATGCAAGCCTGGGCTAACCCAGGACATGCACACATACAGTTACAAACATGTACACAACTTTAATTTGGAAATGCACACACACACACACACACACACACACACACACTACCTATTTTGCATTAAACCAAGGCCAAACTACATTGCTGGTTTTCCTGCTCACTGAGGTAACCTCAATAATCAAAACAAATACAATCAAAAAAATACATCCAGGTACAACCTAATGTGCGTCAAACTAAGCCCCACATGACTGGTGAGTACCAACTTCAGTTTCCTGACATGCAAAGAGCTGTCACATCCAAACTCTTAATCCTGTTGTTGTAAGGAGCATTTGGAAGTGTACAGAGCATTTCTGCTTACATTTACCATAAACACTTGGTCTGTAGCTAAACATGACATGCAGAGATTATTGCCCCATAAATTATAAATAAGCATTAAGGATCCATTCTTCATTTCAGGATGCACCCAACAAGGCAGAACTTATTTACATGAAACGTAACATGTAAGGAGTTTGGCCCACCTGATCTAAAAAGCAATTGATGGAGCAATTGCAAACCATTTTAAGGCAGTTTTTTGTAAGTACAATGTTTCCTTTCTTTTATGCCGAATTAACCAACTGACAACTAACAACTGAAAAATATGCGAGCGACCTATAGTCTCAGGAACAAGCGAGATTT